GAAAGGCTGAACAGACTTGACCCATGTCACATCAGTCTGGCAGTCAATAGGGGCAGTGGTAACTGGAGCACAAGAGACAGCAGGAGAGTAAGAGATAGTGGAGGTGGTTGTAGTAAGATCTTCAACCCTCTTCTTTGCTTTGTGGTATGAGACATTTTGTTCGGTCTTTAATTTCATAATCTGGGACTCACGTTTCCACACGACAGGATTTGGAAGATGCCATGTGGTTCCCACCGCAGTTTGAACAATTCACATCCTTGCTGCAGTCAGTGGCCTGGTGTTTGTCGCCGCTACGGTAACAAACAGCAGAGGCATGGCAGGACTTTTATCCCTGCTTGGCAGGTGTAGCACTGGAGTGGATTGGGGATATACACCTCCACTTCAATGCTACAATATCCAGCTTTAATGGCTTGGGGGATAGTCGTTCAGGCGAAAGTAAAGAGGTAGGTGTTGGTTGGTTCGACCACAACATCCTTCTTGAAAGAAAATCGTTTGACCGCTGTGACCGACTGTTGTTCCGACTGTTATATCGTCTTAGGTAATGCCAGACAGGCAGCATGCTCTGCCACGGACAATTACCTTACTTGAGTTCAGTGTCTTGTGCACTGAGACAACAACCTTGATATTGACAAACTCTTTTAATTTGAGCAGACTGACAGATTGTTGTCTCTGTGCACATTCTACAAGGAGAGAGCCAGAATGAAGCTTGGCGACATTTGTAACCTCTCCGCAGATACCAGTGATACCTTTGGAGATTGCAAATGGATTCAATTTGATTGATTCTTTGTCTAAAGCTTTGATTACCAAGATACGTGGCCAATAGTCAGATCTAGTGGGCATTGTAGTTTCATCAGATTTGATGTGTCGTCTTTTTGAACCAGGTTGATGGGAAGCCATGCTCAGAAGGAAAATACTTCTGCACTCCTTTTCCCCACCCACCGTGGAGTGTCAACAAGGACAGTCTTATGCTGCAGTGGATCTCCAAGCTGCAAATTTGACGCGGAAAGCTATAACTATCTACCAAATTAAGGGTCAGGCTGGTTCGGCCCATAACAATTAATTGGAGACGTACAGAATTCGGAGGTCAGAATCACCAGACTGGCCCATGAGCCACCGCCTTCTTGGCATAAGGCTCTAAGCAAGTTTTATAGATTGAGACATGTATATATAAGACATTTTGAATGAATTTATTTTTACCAAACGTTTGTGCAAAATAGTGTATGCACAGGGCATGACATGACCAGCTAATTGAAAGAATTGGGCCCATTATACCGCCTGTCAAGGCAAAGTTAGACTCTCCATACAATATAACTACAAATGTTGGAGATGACTGATCTCCTACCCAAGCAGCCAGGTTGACAAGGTTGTTGGACTCTCCATAAAATATAACTACAAATGTTGGAGATGACTGATCTCCTACCAAAGCAGCCAGGTTGACAAGGTTGTTGGACTCTCCATACAATATAACTACAAATGTTAGAGATGACTGATCTCCTACCCAAGCAGCCAGGTTGACAAGGTTGTTGGACTCTCCATACAATATAACTACAAATGTTGGAGATGACTGATCTCCTACCCAAGCAGCCAGGTTGACAAGGTTGTTGGACTCTCCATACAATATAACTATAAATGTTGGAGATGACTGATCTCCTACCCTAACAGCCAGGTTGACAAGGTTGTTGGACTCTCCATACAATATAACTATAAATGTTGGAGATGACTGATCTCCTACCCAAGCAGCCAGGCTGACAAGGTTGTTGGACTCTCCATACAATATAACTATAAATGTTGGAGATGACTGATCTCCTACCAAAGCAGCCAGGCTGACAAGGTTGTTGGACTCTCCATACAATATAACTATAAATGTTGGAGATGACTGATCTCCTACCCAAGCAGCCAGGCTGACACAGTTGTTGGACTCTCCATACAATATAACTACAAATGTTGGAGATGACTGATCTCCTACCCAAGCAGCCAGGCTGACAAGGTTGTTGGACTCTCCATACAATATAACTATAAATGTTGGAGATGACTGATCCCCAAACAGGCAGGTGCAACAATGCTGTTGGACTCTCCATACAATATAACTACAAATGTTGGAGATGACTGATCTCCTACCCTAGCAGCCAGGTTGACAAGGTTGTTGGACTCTCCATACAATATAACTATAAATGTTGGAGATGACTGATCTCCTACCCAAACAGGCAGGTGCAACAATGCTGTTGGACTCTCCATACAATATAACTATAAATGTTGGAGATGACTGATCTCCTACCCAAGCAGCCAGGCTGACAAGGTTGTTGGACTCTCCATACAATATAACTATAAATGTTGGAGATGACTGATCTCCTACCCAAGCAGCCAGGCTGACAAGGTTGTTGGACTCTCCATACAATATAACTATAAATGTTGGAGATGACTGATCTCCTACCCAAGCAGCCAGGCTGACACGGTTGTTGGACTCTCCATACAATATAACTACAAATGTTGGAGATGACTGATCTCCTACCCAAGCAGCCAGGCTGACACGGTTGTTGGACTCTCCATACAATATAACTATAAATGTTGGAGATGACTGATCTCCTAAACAAGCAGCCAGGCTGACAAGGTTGTTGGACTCTCCATACAATATAACTATAAATGTTGGAGATGACTGATCTCCTACCCAAGCAGCCAGGTTGACAAGGTTGTTGGACTCTCCATACAATATAACTATAAATGTTGGAGATGACTGATCTCCTACCCAAGCAGCCAGGCTGACAAGGTTGTTGGACTCTCCATACAATATAACTATAAATGTTGGAGATGACTGATCTCCTACCCAAGCAGCCAGGCTGACAAGGTTGTTGGACTCTCCATACAATATAACTATAAATGTTGGAGATGACTGATCTCCTACCCAAGCAGCCAGGCTGACACGGTTGTTGGACTCTCCATACAATATAACTACAAATGTTGGAGATGACTGATCTCCTACCCAAGCAGCCAGGCTGACAAGGTTGTTGGACTCTCCATACAATATAACTATAAATGTTGGAGATGACTGATCCCCAAACAGGCAGGTGCAACAATGCTGTTGGACTCTCCATACAATATAACTACAAATGTTGGAGATGACTGATCTCCTACCCTAGCAGCCAGGTTGACACGGTTGTTGGACTCTCCATACAATATAACTATAAATGTTGGAGATGACTGATCTCCTACCCAAACAGGCAGGTGCAACAATGCTGTTGGACTCTCCATACAATATAACTACAAATGTTGGAGATGACTGATCTCCTACCAAAGCAGCCAGGTTGACAAGGTTGTTGGACTCTCCATACAATATAACTATAAATGTTGGAGATGACTGATCTCCTACCCTAGCAGCCAGGTTGACAAGGTTGTTGGACTCTCCATACAATATAACTATAAATGTTGGAGATGACCGATCTCCTACCCTAGCAGCCAGGTTGACACGGTTGTTGGACTCTCCATACAATATAACTATAAATGTTGGAGATGACTGATCTCCTACCCAAACAGGCAGGTGCAACAATGCTGTTGGACTCTCCATACAATATAACTACAAATGTTGGAGATGACTGATCTCCTACCAAAGCAGCCAGATTGACAAGGTTGTTGGACTCTCCATACAATATAACTATAAATGTTGGAGATGACTGATCTCCTACCCTAGCAGCCAGGTTGACAAGGTTGTTGGACTCTCCATACAATATAACTATAAATGTTGGAGATGACTGATCTCCTACCCAAGCAGCCAGGTTGACAAGGTTGTTGGACTCTCCATACAATATAACTACAAATGTTGGAGATGACTGATCTCCTACCCAAGCAGCCAGGCTGACAAGGTTGTTGGACACTCCATACAATATAACTATAAATGTTGGAGATGACTGATCTCCTACCCAAGCAGCCAGGCTGACAAGGTTGTTGGACTCTCCATACAATATAACTATAAATGTTGGAGATGATTGATCTCCTACCCAAGCAGCCAGGTTGACAAGGTTGTTGGACTCTCCATACAATATAACTATAAATGTTGGAGATGACTGATCTCCTACCCAAGCAGCCAGGCTGACAAGGTTGTTGGACTCTCCATACAATATAACTATAAATGTTGGAGATGACTGATCTCCTACCCAAGCAGCCAGGCTGACAAGGTTGTTGGACTCTCCATACAATATAACTATAAATGTTGGAGATGACTGATCTCCTACCCAAGCAGCCAGGCTGACACGGTTGTTGGACTCTCCATACAATATAACTACAAATGTTGGAGATGACTGATCTCCTACCCAAGCAGCCAGGCTGACAAGGTTGTTGGACTCTCCATACAATATAACTATAAATGTTGGAGATGACTGATCCCCAAACAGGCAGGTGCAACAATGCTGTTGGACTCTCCATACAATATAACTACAAATGTTGGAGATGACTGATCTCCTACCCTAGCAGCCAGGTTGACACGGTTGTTGGACTCTCCATACAATATAACTATAAATGTTGGAGATGACTGATCTCCTACCCAAACAGGCAGGTGCAACAATGCTGTTGGACTCTCCATACAATATAACTACAAATGTTGGAGATGACTGATCTCCTACCAAAGCAGCCAGGTTGACAAGGTTGTTGGACTCTCCATACAATATAACTATAAATGTTGGAGATGACTGATCTCCTACCCTAGCAGCCAGGTTGACAAGGTTGTTGGACTCTCCATACAATATAACTATAAATGTTGGAGATGACTGATCTCCTACCCAAGCAGCCAGGTTGACAAGGTTGTTGGACTCTCCATACAATATAACTATAAATGTTGGAGATGACTGATCTCCTACCCAAGCAGCCAGGCTGACAAGGTTGTTGGACTCTCCATACAATATAACTATAAATGTTGGAGATGACTGATCTCCTACCCAAGCAGCCAGGCTGACAAGGTTGTTGGACTCTCCATACAATATAACTATAAATGTTGGAGATGACTGATCTCCTACCCAAACAGCCAGGTGCAACAATGCTGTTGGACATTCGGCATTCTCCAAGCAAGGTAGGTAACTCTGGACAAGAAACTCCTCAAATTCTTTGTTCTCCTTTAGATGTAGTTCTGAAACATAGATTTGCAGAATTATTATTATTTTGCAGAATGAGAGAGTGAGAGCCTCAAACGACACAACTGAGCCTCCTGCCACACAACTGAGGATTCTGCCACTCAAATGAGGATTCTGCCACACAACTGAGGATTCTGCCACTCAAATGAGGATTCTGCCACACAACTGAGGATTCTGCCACACAACTGAGCCTCCTGCCACACAACTGAGGATTCTGCCACACAACTGAGCCTCCTGCCACACAACTGAGCCTCCTGCCACACAACTGAGGATTCTGCCACACAACTGAGGATTCTGCCACACAACTGAGCCTTCTGGTAAATAACTGAGCCTCCTGCCACACAACTGGGGATTCTGTCACACAACTGAGGATTCAGCCACACAACTGAGGATTCTGCCACACAACTGAGGATTCTGCCACACAACTGAGGATTCAGCCACACAACTGAGCCTCCTGCCACACAACTGAGGAGCTCACCACACAACTGAGGATTCTGCCACACAACTGAGGATTCAGCCACACAACTTAGCCTCCTGCCACACAACTGAGGATTCTGTCAAACAACTGAGGATTCTGCCACACAACTGAGCCTTCTGCTAAATAACTGAGCCTCCTGCCATACATCAGAGCCTCCTGTAACACAACTGAGGATTCTGACACATATCTAAGCCTCCTGCCACACATCTTAGCCTCCTGCCACTCAACTGAGCCCCCTGCCACACAACTGAGTCTCCTGTAACAAGTGAGTCTCCCCCTACTGGGCCTCCTGCCACACATCTGAGCCTCCTGTAACACAACTGAGGATTCTGACACATATATGAGCCTCCTGACACACATCTTAGCCTCCTGCCACACAACTGAGGATTCTGCCACACAACTGAGTCTCCTGTAACAAGAGAGTCTCCCGCTACTGGGCCTCCTGCCACACATCTGAGCCTCCTGTAAAAACAACTGAGGATTCTGACCCATATCCGAGTCTCCTGCCACACATCTTAGCCTCCTGCCACACAACTGAGTCACCTGCCACACAACTGAGGATTCTGCCACACAATTGAGCCTCCTGCCACACAACTGAGGATTCTGCCACACAACTGAGGATTCTGCCACACAACTGAGCCTCCTGCCACACAACTGAGGATTCTGCCACACAACTGAGGATTCTGCCACACAACTGAGCCTCCTGCCACACAACTGAGGATTCTGACACAAAACTGAGGATTCTGCCACACAACTGAGGATTCTGTCACACAACTGAGCCTCCTGCTACACAACTGAGCCTTCTGCCAAATAACTGAGCCTCCTGCCACACAACTGAGGATCCCACCACACAACTGAGGATTCTGCAACACAACTGAGCCTCCTGCCACTCAACTGAGGATCCCACCACACAACTGAGGATTCTGCCACACAACTGAGGATTCTGCCACACAACTGAGGATTCTGCCACACAACTGAGACTCCTGCCACACAACTGAGGATTCTGCCACACAACTGAGGATTCTGTCACACAACTGAGCCTCCTGCTACACAACTGAGCCTTCCGCCAAATAACTGAGCCTCCTGCCACACAACTGAGGATCCCACCACACAACTGAGGATTCTGCAACACAACTGAGCCTCCTGCCACTCAACTGAGGATCCCACCACACAACTGAGGATTCTGCCACACAACTGAGCTTCAAGTCAGACAACAGTAGCAGTGGATATCATTGGATTTGAACTTAAACCCCATTATTTCATGGAATCCAAACAAAACATAATTTAAACAATACCTAAACACCAAAAGTCACCAGTACATGGCTAGAACGATATCAGTGCAAATATGTGTCAAGAAATACTGAGCAGTTGTGGGTCACACAGATGCAGGGATGAACAGTGCCAATCACCGTATCCCCCTCACATTTCACCATTGGGGACAAGGGATTTTTCACTTTCTTGTGTGAGGTTCACTTCATGACTACACTGCCAACTTGACATCAGGCTGCAGAGAAGGACAAGGAAGCCATTCACGGGGAAGTACCCAGTTCTTGCCTTGATGCAGTGAGTGAGATCCACCCATGTACCGGGTTCTTCCCTTGATGCAGTGAGTGAGATCTACCCATGTACCTGGTTCTTCCCTTGATGCAGTGGGTGAGATCTACCCATGTACCCGTTTCTTCCCTTGCAGTGAGTGAGACCTACCCATGTACCCGGTTCTTCCCTTGATGCAGTGAGTGAGACCTACCCATGTACCCGGTTCTTCCCTTGATGCAGTGAGTGAGACCTACCCATGTACCTGGTTCTTCCCTTGATGCAGTGAGTGAGATCTACCCATGTACCCGGTTCTTCCATTGATGCAGTGAATGAGATCTACCCATGTACCCGGTTATTCCCTTGATGCAGTGAGTGAGATCTACCCATGTACCCAGTTCTTCCCTTGATGCAGTGAGACCTACCCATGTACCTGGTTCTTCCCTTGATGCAGTGAGTGAGACCTACCCATGTATATGGTTCTTCCCTTGATGCAGTGAGTGAGATCTACCCATGTACCCGGTTCTTCCCTTGATGCAGTGAGTGAGACCTACCCATGTACCCGGTTCTTCCCTTGATGCAGTGAGTGAGATCTACCCATGTACCTGGTTCTTCCCTTGATGCAGTGAGACCTACCCATGTACCCGGTTCTTCCCTTGATGCAGTGAGTGAGACCTACCCATGTACCCGGTTCTTCCCTTGATGCAGTGAGTGAGACCTACCCATGTACCCGGTTCTTCCCTTGATGCAGTGAGTGAGCTCTATCCATGTACCCGGTTCTTCCCTTGATGCAGTGAGTGAGATCTACCCATGTACCCGGGTTCTTCCCTTGATGCAGTGAGTGAGATCTACCCATGTACCCGGTTCATCCCTTGATGCAGTGAGTGAGATCTACCCATGTACCGGGTTCTTCCCTTGATGCAGTGAGACCTACCCATGTACCTGGTTCTTCCCTTGATGCAGTGGGTGAGATCTACCCATGTACCAGGTTCTTCCCTTGATGAAGTGAGTGAGACCTACCCATGTACCTGGTTCTTCCCTTGATGCAGTGGGTGAGATCTACCCATGTACCCGGTTCTTCCCTTGATGCAGTGAGTGAGACCTACCCATGTACCCGGTTCTTCCCTTGATGCAGTGAGTGAGATCTACCCATGTACCCGGTTCATCCCTTGATGCAGTGAGTGAGACCTACCCATGTACCTGGTTCTTCCCTTGATGCAGTGAGATCTACCCATGTACCCGGTTCTTCCCTTGATGCAGTGAGTGAGACCTACCCATGTACCCTGTTCTTCCCTTGATGCAGTGAGTGAGACCTACCCATGTACCTGGTTCTTCCCTTGATGCAGTGAGTGAGACCTACCCATGTACCCGGTTCTTCCCTTGATGCAGTAAGTGAGACCTACCCATGTACCTGGTTCTTCCCTTGATGAAGTGAGTGAGACCACCCATGTACCTGGTTCTTCCCTTGATGCAGTGAATGAGATCTACCCATGTACCCGGTTCTTCCCTTGATGCAGTGAGTGAGATCTACCCATGTACCTGGTTCTTCCCTTGATGCAGTGAGTGAGACCTACCCATGTACCTGGTTCTTCCCTTGATGCAGTGAGTGAGACCTACCCATGTACCTGGTTCTTCCCTTGATGCAGTGAGTGAGATCTACCCATGTACCCGGTTCTTCCCTTGATGCAGTGAGTGAGATCTACCCATGTACCCGGTTCATCCCTTGATGCAGTGAGTGAGACCTACCCATGTACCTGGTTCTTCCCTTGCAGTGAGTGAGACCTACCCATGTACCCGGTTCTTCCCTTGATGCAGTGAGTGAGATCTACCCATGTACCCGGTTCTTCCCTTGCAGTGAGTGAGACCTACCCATGTACCTGGTTCTTCCCTTGCAGTGAGTGAGACCTACCCATGTACCCGGTTCTTCCCTTGATGCAGTGAGTGAGACCTACCCATGTACCTGGTTCTTCCCTTGCAGTGAGTGAGACCTACCCATGTACCTGGTTCTTCCTTTGATGTAGTGAGTGAGACCTACCCATGTTCCTGGTTCTTCCCTTGATGCAGTGAGTGAGACCTACCCATGTACCTGGTTCTTCCCTTGATGGAGTGAGTGAGACCTACCCATGTACCCGGTTCATCCCTTGATGCAGTGAGTGAGACCTACCCATGTACCCAATTCTTCCCTTGTTGCAGTGAGTGAGACCTACCCATGTACCTTCTGGTTCTTCCCCCTTGATGCAGTCAATGAGATCTACCCATGTACCCGGTTCTTCCCTTGATGCAGTGAGTGAGACCTACCCATGTACCTGGTTCTTCCCTTGATGCAGTGAATGAGATCTACCCATGTACCCGGTTCATCCCTTGATGCAGTGAGTGAGACCTACCCATGTCCAGTTTATCCATGAGTTGGTCAACAAGAGCGCTGTTGGTACACTCCACCAGGACAGCGTTGACAGTTTCCACGTACCACTGAATGTCGGGGGACCACTTGACCTGGGTTAAGGACAACAGCAGAGGAGTAATGGAGATATAAACGAGCTCTGAATCAACAGTGTTCTGATTCCTCCAACTTCCACCATGTTATGGTGGATAACATCCTATCCGTGGTTCTCACAATCTCAAATTACCTGACCTTGATATTCATTACCGACCAATCGAACGGCAATAAACCTCATGGGAAAAGGGAGCTAACTCATATTACCTAGAAACCCAAACCACTGCCAATTTTAATAAATATGAAGACATCCTTTCCATCAAAAAGATGTTTAACGACTTTCTTTTGGCTGTCTGTCAGTGTTTCAATGTTGAATTTCAAGCAGCCTTGATTGTAGCCAATCAAATTGGCAAATGGAAATCAAGAACGTTGTACAAGAATTGAAGGCGCGTGTCCGCAGAGATGTAGCTTATTAAAATTCCGATCCGAGGGTGAAAAATTAACTGGAAATATCAAACTGGTTTGAAACAGTGTTAAGTGTTGTCCTAGATTTTGTTATGCAAAGGAACCCAGTAAATTTTTACTCTTTTTATCGTACACAATAAAATTACTGTGTGATAATTGTTTTATTCAACAGCCATATGGAAACTGAGTGGACAAAATTCTGCCTGATATCTGAATGACATCAGTATATATCAATGGATTTGAATGCTGATGTATATAACACATATATTGTAAATCTTGAAATTAACGTGAGTGTGAATTAAATGCGAAGAATGCGAGTGGTCCTTGTTTACATTAATGAAACTTCGCATTTAGATAGCCTCACTGCACACTTTAGATAGCCTCACTGCACAATTTAGATAGCCTCACTGCACACTTTAGATAGCCTCACTGCACAATTTAGATAGCCTCACTGCACACTTTAGATAGCCTCACTACACAATTTAGATAGCCTCACTGCACACTTTAGATAGCCTCACTGCACAATTTAGATAGCCTCACTGCACACTTTAGATAGCCTCACTGCACACTTTAGATAGCCTCACTACACAATTTAGATAGCCTCACTGCACAATTTAGATAGCCTCACTGCACACTTTAGATAGCCTCACTGCACAATTTAGATAGCCTCACTGCACACTTTAGATAGCCTCACTGCACACTTTAGATAGCCTCACTGCACAATTTAGATAGCCTCACTGCACACTTTAGACAGCCTCACTGCACACTTTAGATAGCCTCACTGCACACTTTAGATAGCCTCACTGCACACTTTAGATAGCCTCACTGCACACTTTAGATAGCCTCACTGCACACTTTAGACAGCCTCACTGTACACTTTAGATAGCCTCACTGCACACTTTAGATAGTCTCACTGCACACTTTAGATAGCCTCACTGCACAGTTTAGATAGCCTCACTGCACAATTTAGATAGCCTCACTGCACATTTTAGATAGCCTCACTGCACACTTTAGATAGCCTCACTGCACACTTTAGATAGCCTCACTGCACACTTTAGACAGCCTCACTGTACACTTTAGATAGCCTCACTGCACACTTTAGATAGTGTTTCGCAGTGGAAGACTAAACTAAACTAAACTTAACATGACCTTACCTTGCAATCAACTAAACGTGAAATCCCCTTATAATCAACTAAACGTGAAATCCCCTTATAATCAACTAAACAATGAAAATGTGATAAGATCAAATGAAATGGATTTTAAACTAAAAGTGAAGTTGCCGTATGGTAACAATGTAAATGGGTAACTCTCTCAACTATTTCTATTCTGTTCTATTCTATTTCTGTAATATTCTAATTCACTATTTGCTAACTTAGAGAGAGATATCCATTTACTCCTTGCCCATATGAATGCCAGAAGACAACTGAAATAATCTGTTTCTAGAGCATGCGCATTTTGCCCTCATCCAACAAGAAGCACGTGCTGCATGCCAACTTTAACGCTTTCCGCGAAGCTGTTGTGTACCAATGCGTCAACCACTGTGTCCAGGAACATGAAACTTGTTCCCGGACAATTGTTCCCGGACGCTTCAGAACATGCCCCCTTCCATGATAGACCCCTGTCTATCATCTATTTGGAACAATACGCAGTTGACAAACTACAAAAAAAAACCTAACTTATTTACAACAATGACTAGTCAATGAAAACAGCAGCACTATTTACAACCTTGAACAACTGGTTCTTGTTCAGTCTCGATATTCGAGAGGACAGATCTTTGTAACTGGTCGAGTCAATCTCGACCCTCCAACTTTAACATCTACAACTCTAACATGGCCATCTTTGCCTGGGTAAGTTTTCAATATCCTTCCCATTGGCCAAGTTCCTCTTGGATTATCTTGTGATACGACAATCACCACATCATCAACTTGGAAGTCTCTTGATGACGTGACCCACTTTTTTCGGACATTCAACGTTGGAAGCCACTCTCTCATCCATCTCCTCCAGATATGCCTGATGAGTTCCTGGATCCTCCGCCAACGCTTCTGGGGAGAAAAGGAAGTAGAATCTATTTCTGGAGCGAAGTCTCCACCAAGCTGCCCATGTAGAAAGTGGTTTGGTGTGAGCGGAACATCATCCTGTGTGTGGGCACTCTGATATGTGAGTGGTCTTGAATTCAACAGAGCTTCGGCCCCAGTAAAAGCAGTCATCAGTTCTTCATCGGTGACATCACTTGAGCTGAGGACAGCATAAATAGCCCGTTTAGCTGACTTGACCATCGATTCGAATACTCCTCCGAAGTGAGGAGCATTTGGAGGATTAAATCTCCATACAATGCCTCTGTTTGCCAATTTCGATTTTGTGATGTCAGAATCTAATGAAGTCACCAGCTCTTTAAGCTCTTTCACAGCTCCAACGAAATTCGTCCCGTTGTCCGATATGATCTCTTTGGGCATTCCCCTTCTGTGTGCCATGCGGAAGAGAGCATTCAAGAACGAATTTGTGTCTAGTCCAAAAGCGATTTCTAAATGTACAGCGCGTGTAGCTAGGCATGTGAACAGGCACAGGTAACGCTTTTGACGGCTTTTACCTCGACCCTGTACAGTAAGAAATGGACCAGCGAAATCTACCCCCGCTTGAACAAATGCTCTCATTGAACAAACTACTCTCACCTTTGGAAGATTGCCCATGAGTTGTTGTGCTGGCTTTGCTTTTTGTTTTTTGCACCAAGAACATGCATTTTCCCATTCACGAATTTCCTCCCTTGAGGATATTATCCAGAACTTGGAAGACAATGAAGCTAATGTGGTATTTGTTCCCATGTGGTGACACATTTCATGATGATGTTTAACTATCAACTTTGTCACTGGGCTTTTTCTGGGAAGAATAATAGGAAACCTTGCTTCCCAGGACAGGACTTCTGCAAACCTCAGTCTGCCATTTAATCTCATCACTCCTGTTTCATCCAGAAAAGGCTGTAATCCTATGAGTTTACTCTTAGGTGGTATTCTGCTGTCATGGTACAGTGCCCAATACTCTTTAGGAAATGCTTCCTTTTGATCTTCTGAAATTAGTTTTCTTTCAGCTCCTTCAATCTCTTCTAGGTCCAGTTCTTCTTTCCTTCTCATATCCTTTTTTGTCCGACAGTTACTGAGAAACCTGTAGACCCATGCAAAGACTCTGCACAGTCTTTTCCAGTCGGAAAACCTACATGGATCCAAACGCCATGTCTGATCAACATCTTGCACCATCATTGTCACTTTCATATTTGATCCAGTTTTCCTTTCCATCTCAACTTTCTGGAAAGCATGTATCTGTTTTGGCCATTGGCTTACATCAAGTTTTAAAAACTCAGGACCTTGTAGCCATGCTTTTGTACCAAGTGTTTCAGGTTTACAACCTTTTGTAAGTATGTCTGCTGTATTCAACTTAGTTGGTACATGCATCCATTGGCTGGGTTTTGTCACTTCTTGTATAAAACCAACCCGATTTGCCACAAATGGCTTAAAGCTTCTACTGTGGCTTTTTATCCACCACAACACGTTCATGCTATCGGACCAGATCCTAGCATCATAAGGTGACATTTCTAGGCCTTTTGCAATAGCAAGCAGAAGTTTCACCCCAAGAACCGCTGCCATCAACTCTAGTCGCGGGACACTGATAGCCTTCAGTGGAGCAACATGACTTTTTGCAGCTACAAGTAGACTTGCTGTCCTGTGTTCATTAACACTCACCAGATAAATGACTGCACCAAAAGCATCTTGTGATGCATCTACAAACACATGTAGGCGTGGATTGGCTATTTCAGTTCTAAATTCAATCCATCTTGGGAAATATAAAGACTTCAAATCTGCCAATTCCCTATACCATTGCAATACCTTTTCCTCTAAATCAGGATGCAGACTGTCATCCCAACCTACACCAGACACCCAAATGTGTTGCAATATTATCTTTGCCCGAATGGTGAATGGAGCTAACAGTCCCAAAGGATCAAATATCTTAGCAATCTCCCTCAAGAAAGCTCTTTTTGACATTTGAAAGTGATCATTTTTTATGTTGTAGCAGAATTGAAACCTATCACTCTCTGCATTCCAGAGCAACCCAAGAGCTTTCACTGATGGCAGTTCAGTCATCTGAATATTAATTTCAGATAGTCTATCTGCAACTGGAATACATTCAAGGACCTTCAATGAATTGGAGACCCACTTCCTGGCGTGCATTCCAGCTGTAGTCCACAGTTCATTCACCTGATCATAAAGCTCTATAGCTTTTTCCTCGGTTTCTACCGAATCCATTGTGTCATCCATGTATGTTGATTTAGCAACTGTGTCTGCAGCCAAAGGAAGATGAATTTTGCATGCCTTAGCATGTTCCTGTGTAATATACTGTGCCAGAAATGGTGAACAATTCATTCCGAAGACTACCCGTGAAAATTCATATACATCAGGTTCTTCGTCCAGGTTCATTGATCTCCATAGAAATCTGAAGTACGGTTGATCAGCTTCAGTAATCTTGATTTGCAAGTACATTTCTGCAATGTCGCATATGATTGCGATTGGATGTTTTCTAAATCTTAGCAATATTTCAACAAGATCATTTTGCATTTTCGGACCCTGGTGAACAACATCATTTAAGGACACCCCATCACTTTTTGCTGATGCATCGAAAACCATCCTTACCTTCGTTGTATTTCGTTCAGGCCGGACCACTGGAAAATGAGGTAAGTACCAACATTTTTTGTTAACTTCTTTTTCAGGAACTTTTGTGATGTATCCTGTTTTCAGATACTGTGATATCACATCCCCATATGCTGTCTGAATTGTAACATCTTTGGATAACCTTTTCTCAATTTGTTTCAGACGTTTGAAAGCACTATCATAATTATTATGTAATTTCCCCCTTTTTATTTCAGGAGAAGCAGGTGCTTCCATTTCTATTCTTATTCTACTCATATCTATTTCTGGTGCAACTGACTCACCATGACCAACATTCTGATGAACAGAAGGAACACATTGTTCTTCTTGAAGCTCTGCGACTTTAAGTTTCACAGGCATGTGTTTCTTTGTGTTAACTGGGCGAAATATCCTCGACATTACTGACCTTATACCAGAAGACGAGCTGTCATCTGACCTGCTGCTCAAATGCAATCTTGCATTGTGTATTGCATCATCGCTATATTCTAAGACTTCATCTATTTCCTTACATGTTTTCTTGGCATTCTCGTAATCTCCATGTTGGTCGTATGCCTTGGACAGGTCATACAATAAGTCAACAGCTTTAGCCTGAAGTGAACTCACCTTATCTATCTCATCCCTCACTGCTTTCCTTGTGGGGAGATCCTCCTGGTCTATCATACTCAGCATCTTATTCTGAGCCTTTGTCAATGCAGACTTTGCTGCCGTCTTTTGTTTCTTAAGCTGAGCTATTTTTAACTCCAGCTTATCTACATCACTAATACTTGTAGCCTTTTCAGGATTTATTATCCCACCTTCAGACTTTGCTATATCAGACATGCTTGTTGCTTTGCCAGCCATTGTGAACAACCAAGCATCAAACTACACGTGAAAATCTATCCTATTTTTGAATGACGTACGTTGACCCTAAGAACTATCAACACCAGTCACTATAACTAACTAACTAGCCCATATTCAGAGCAACCACGCTCTGCTACCAATGTTTCGCAGTGGAAGACTAAACTAAACTAAACTTAACATGACCTTACCTTGCAATCAACTAAATGTGAAATCCCCTTATAATCAACTAAACGTGAAATCCCCTTATAATCAACTAAACAATGAAAATGTGATAAGATCAAATGAAATGGATTTTAAACTAAAAGTGAAGTTGCCGTATGGTAACAATGTAAATGGGTAACTCTCTCAACTATTTCTATTCTGTTCTATTCTATTTCTGTAATATTCTAATTCACTATTTGCTAACTTAGAGAGAGATATCCATTTACTCCTTGCCCATATGAATGCCAGAAGACAACTGAAATAATCTGTTTCTAGAGCATGCGCATTTTGCCCTCATCCAACAAGAAGCACGTGCTGCATGCCAACTTTAACGCTTTCCGCGAAGCTGTTGTGTACCAATGCGTCAACCACTGTGTCCAGGAACATGAAACTTGTTCCCGGACAATTGTTCCCGGACGCTTCAGAACAGATAGTCTCACTGCACACTTTAGATAGCCTCACTGCACACTTTAGATAGCCTCACTGCACAGTTTAGATATAGCCTCACCGCACACTTTAGATAGCCTCACTGCACACTTTAGATAGCCTCACTGCACACTTTAGACAACCTCACTGCACACTTTAGATAGCCTCACTGCACACTTTAGATAGCCTTACTGCACGCTTTAGATAGCCTCACTGCACACTTTAGATAGCCTCACTGCACACTTTAGATAGCCTCACTGCACACTTTAGACAACCTCACTGCACACTTTAGATAGCCTCACTGCACACTTTAGATAGCCTTACTGCACGCTTTAGATAGCCTCACTGCACGCTTTAGATAGCCTCACTGCACACTTTAGACAGCCTCACTGCACACTTTAGACAGCCTCACTGCACACTTTAGATAGCCTCACTGCACACTTTAGATAGCCTCACTGCACACTTTAGACAGCCTCACTGCACAGTTTAGATATAGCCTCACTGCACACTTTAGATAGCCTCACTGCACAGTTTAGATATAGCCTCACTGCACACTTTAGATAGCCTCACTGCACGCTTTAGATAGCCTCACTGCACACTTTAGACAGCCTCACTGCACACTTTAGACAGCCTCACTGCACACTTTAGATAGCCTCACTGCACACTTTAGATAGCCTCACTGCACACTTTAGACAGCCTCACTGCACAGTTTAGATATAGCCTCACTGCACACTTTAGATAGCCTCACTGCACACTTTAGATAGCCTCACTGCACACTTTAGATAGCCTCACTGCACACTTTAGATAGAGGAAATGCCAACTTGAATATGAACACAAACACAGTTTATGGAGCAGCAGTTGTAACAAGTCCACAGCAATGTCATTTAACCAATAGGGATTACACAATGGGCATCCTGTGAGTTATCACTGCTGGGGTCAAGAGTTCTACCTACTCGTGTCAAACTAGGCTTCATTGACCACTCCAGTGAGTCAAAGACGTATACACGTCCGTGAGTGAGTGAACTGTTGTTGGTTTAATTAATTTATTGTCTTTAAACTTCTCAAACGTCAACAGAACAAACAAATAAACTGTGTGTTGTTTTTAGGGAAACACTGTTTATTGTTATTACAGAAGTGCTTAACTCAGTGCTAATAAGCGGTGCTATTTGCTGTTTGGTTGGATTAAGGTAAGGATATGTATCATTCCACTGGGGATGGGGTAGGGGGAGTCTCACTGATTTTATGTCGCATTTTTGGCTAGGTGTCAGTAGTTGTATAAACTTGGAGATGCATTAATTACAAGATTTACAGTATTTGATACAGAGTACAGAGGTGTACATGGCCCAAAGACAAGGGGCAAAGCCTCGAAACTCGTCCATTGACTCAGCTCACTCAGCCCAGTGGGAAATCGCTGTGGATAATGACAAGATATGTTTTGTGCTATTTTGTTCCTGAGAAACCAAACTACTCCAACACAACCATCCCTATTGAATTTCCCTAATCCCTATTTTGGTATTATCACAAATCAAAAGAAATGATGAAATCATTCTTCATAGACAAGAGAATTCAGAAGGTGACAAATCCCGCTGGCATCCACCAATAGGAAAGACCAAATCATCTGAGTGTTACCTTAAGTCCAACTTGATGAGAGAATTTCTATCTAACCTGTCAGTCCATATACAAGAGCAGTTAATGAGCTTCCCAAATTAGTAAAATCTAAATATTTTTTACATTTGTATACTTATCCTGCATTACTCCGTATTGCATTTACTGCTGTCTTTGACAGAGAGACGAACTGTGTGAGATCCAGCTGCTGAAGAAAAGTTGTTCCAACCGGTATATGGCAGCACCCCTCGCACAGTCGGCATGTGACACGGAGGGCACTTCGACTTCATAATGCAGGATAAGTATACAAATGTGCATTCTTTTGTGCACTACCATTGTAATTGCTGTGCAGTACTTTTTATTGATCTTTAAACTTAGCAAATTTTGTAATATATTTGTTGATTGTATACCATTTGTTGCTTGTTTGTTGGCTTCACACTAGGTTCTGTTATGTACAGATTTCTGGGTTAACATACTGTTTCTATTTGGGAATCGATACGTAACAATACATATTGTATTGTTTCACAAATATCCATGAATACCAGTATCCTAATATTGTAATTATATTGTTATCTTATTCGTATTCAAAGTGAGGGCAGGAGAGGGGTCTCTATATGTGGCATCCATGCCAGGGAGGTAACTAAGCAGTATCTGTTGTCTGACTCCTCCCGGACAGCAGCAGAGCAAACACACCCAAACAATGCTGACAACACATCACACCACATCACACAGACTGCTGCGATGTGTGAACCCTAACCCCAGCAGCAGCAGAGCAAACACACCCAAACAATGCTGACAACACATCACACCACATCACACAGACTGCTGCGATGTGTGAACCCTAACCCCGGCAGCAGCAGAGCAAACACACCCAAACAATGCTGACAACACATCACACCACATCACACAGACTGCTGCGATGTGTGAACCCTAACCCGGACAGCAGCAGAGCAAACACACCCAAACAATGCTGACAACACATCACACCACATCACACAGACTGCTGCGATGTGTGAACCCTAACCCCCGCAGCAGCAGAGCAAACACACCCAAACAATGCTGACAACACATCACACCACATCACACAGACTGCTGCGATGTGTGAACCCTAACCCGGACAGCAGCAGAGCAAACACACCCAAACAATGCTGACAACACATCACACCACATCACACAGACTGCTGCGATGTGTGAACCCTAACCCGGACAGCAGCAGAGCAAACACACCCAAACAATGCTGACAACACATCACACCACATCACACAGACTGCTGCGATGTGTGAACCCTAACCCCCGCAGCAGCAGAGCAAACACACCCAAACAATGCTGACAACACATCACACCACATCACACAGACTGCTGCGATGTGTGAACCCTAACCCGGACAGCAGCAGAGCAAACACACCCAAACAATGCTGACAACACATCACACCACATCACACAGACTGCTGTGATGTGTGAACCCTAACCCCGGCAGCAGCAGAGCAAACACACCCAAACAATGCTGACAACACATCACACCACATCACACAGACTGCTGCGATGTGTGAACCCTAACCCGGACAGCAGCAGCAGAGCAAACATACCCAAACAATGCTGACAACACATCACACCCTATCACACAGACTGCTGCGATGTGTGAACCCTAACCCCGACAGCAGCAGAGCAAACACACCCAAACAATGCTGACAACACATCACACCACATCACACAGACTGCTGCGATGTGTGAACCCTAACCCCAGCAGCAGCAGAGCAAACACACCCAAACAATGCTGACAACACATCACACCACATCACACAGACTGCTGCGATGTGTGAATCCTAACCCGGACAGCAGCAGAGCAAACACACCCAAACAATGCTGACAACACATCACACCACATCACACAGACTGCTGCGATGTGTGAACCCTAACCAGGACAGCAGCAGAGCAAACACACCCAAACAATGCTGACAACACATCACACCACATCACACAGACTGCTGCGATGTGTGAACCCTAACCCCGGCAGCAGCAGAGCAAACACACCCAAACAATGCTGACAACACATCACACCACATCACACAGACTGCTGCGATGTGTGAACCCTAACCCCCGCAGCAGCAGAGCAAACACACCCAAACAATGCTGACAACACATCGCACCACATCACACAGACTGCTGCGATGTGTGAACCCTAACCCCCGCAGCAGCAGAGCAAACACACCCAAACAATGATGACAACACATCACACCACATCACACAGACTGCTGCGATGTGTGAACCCTAACCCCGGCAGCAGCAGAGCAAACACACCCAAACAATGCTGACAACACATCACACCACATCACACAGACTGCTGCGATGTGTGAACCCTAACCCCAGCAGCAGAGCAAACACACCCAAACAATGCTGACAACACATCACACCACATCACACAGACTGCTGCGATGTGTGAACCCTAACCAGGACAGCAGCAGAGCAAACACACCCAAACAATGCTGACAACACATCACACCACATCACACAGACTGCTGCGATGTGTGAACCCTAACCCGGACAGCAGCAGAGCAAACACACCCAAACAATGCTGACAACACATCACACCACATCACACAGACTGCTGCGATGTGTGAACCCTAACCAGGACAGCAGCAGAGCAAACACACCCAAACAATGCTGACAACACATCACACCACATCACACAGACTGCTGCGATGTGTGAACCCTAACCCCAGCAGCAGCAGAGCAAACACACCCAAACAATGCTGACAACACATCACACCACATCACACAGACTGCTGCGATGTGTGAACCCTAACCCCGGCAGCAGCAGAGCAAACACACCCAAACAATGCTGACAACACATCACACCACATCACACAGACTGCTGCGATGTGTGAACCCTAACCCGGACAGCAGCAGAGCAAACACACCCAAACAATGCTGACAACACATCACACCACATCACACAGACTGCTGCGATGTGTGAACCCTAACCCCGGCAGCAGCAGAGCAAACACACCCAAACAATGCTGACAACACATCACACCACATCACACAGACTGCTGCGATGTGTGAACCCTAACCCCGGCAGCAGCAGAGCAAACACACCCAAACAATGCTGACAACACATCACACCACATCACACAGACTGCTGCGATGTGTGAACCCTAACCAGGACAGCAGCAGAGCAAACACACCCAAACAATGCTGACAACACATCACACCACATCACACAGACTGCTGCGATGTGTGAACCCTAACCCCAGCAGCAGCAGAGCAAACACACCCAAACAATGCTGACAACACATCGCACCACATCACACAGACTGCTGTGCACTTTACAAAGGATATTTCTCTGCCAGTTGTGCTATCTTCCCTGCCATGTCTGTCTTACAGAAAGGGTCGTCAGTCATCTTCAAGTGTTCAAACAACTTGCTGCAGATGGCCTTGACATTGGCCTCGTTGGCCATCTTGTAAAGGAGGTGCAGGGTCTGCCACACAATCCATCATTAAACAATCAATCGTATACAATCAATCATTAAATATCTTTAGAAAATCAATCATTAAATTATTAAACCTCTGGCAGTAAACAATCAATCATTTAGTAATCCATATTTATACAATCAATAACAAGACCATCAATCTTAAAACAAACAACCTTAACATTATCAACAAACAATCAATAATAACACAATCAATAATTAAACACTCAATCTTTACAAAATCAATCTTTCCTCAAGCAGTATTTAGACAATAAATCTTTACACAATAAACAATTTACATAAAATCAATTCGTACAAAGTCAAACATTATCAAACATGTTTTGAAGAGGTTGTCCTGTTTTGAGAGATAAGTTTTGTGAGTGCGTGAGAATACTTTTACACTGCTGTAAGCAGTACTATTCCAGCAATATCACTGCAGGGGACGACAGCAATATTCCAGCAATATCATTGCAGGAAACGACAGCAATATGCCAGCAATATCCCTGCAGGGGACGACAGCAACATTCCAGCCATATCACTGGAGGGGACGACAGCAATGTGCCAGCAATATCACTGCAGGAGACAACAGCAATATTCCAGCAATATCACTGCAGGAGACGACAGCAATATTCCAGCCATATCACTGCAGGAGACGACAGCAATATACCAGCAATATCACTGCAGGAGATGAAAGCAATATTCCAGCCATATCACTGCAGGAGATGACAGCAATATTCCAGCAATATCACTGCAGGAGATGACAGCAATATTCCAGCAATATCACTGCAGGAGATGACAGCAATATTCCAGCAATATCACTGCAGGAGATGACAGCAATATTCCAGCAACATCACTGCAGGAGATGACAGCAATGTTCCAGCAATATCACTGCAGGAGATGACAGCAATATTCCAGCAATATCACTGCAGGAGATGACAGCAATATTCCAGCATTATCACTGCAGGAGATGACAGCAATATTCGAGCAATATCACTGCAGGAGATGACAGCAATATTCCAGCAATATCACTGCAGGAGATGACAGCAATATTCCAGCAATATCACTGCAGGAGATGACAGCAATATTCCAGCAATATCACTGCAGGAGATGACAGCAATATTCCAGCCATATCACTGCAGGAGACGACAGCAATATACCAGCAATATCACTGCAGGGGACGACAGCAATATGCCTGCAATATCACTGCAGGGGACAAAAGCAATATACCAGCAATATCACTGCAGGGGACAACAGCAATATTCCAGCCATATCACTGCAGGAGATGACAGCAATATTCCAGCCATATCACTGCAGGAGATGACAGCAATATTCCAGCAATATCACAGCAGGAGATGACAGCAATATTCCAGCCATATCACTGCAGGAGATGACAGCAATATTCCAGCCATATCACTGCAGGAGACGACAGCAATATTCCAGCCATATCACTGCAAGAGATGACTGCAAGAGATGACAGCAATATACCAGCAATATCACTGCAGGAGACGACAGCAATATACCAGCAATATCACTGCAGGAGATGACAGCAATATTCCAGCAATATCACTGCAGGAGATGACAGCAATATTCCAGCCATATCACTGCAGCAGACGACAGCAATATTCCAGCCATATCACTGCAGGAGACGACAGCAATATTCCAGCAATATCACTGCAGGAAACGACAGCAATATGCCTGCAATATCACTGCAGGAGACGACAGCAATATTCCAGCAATATCACATTTCATTCATCTCACCGAATGTTAGACAAGTGGGAAAACAGCTTAAAAAAACTTCCAGTCTTGGCAATAGCTTACCTTTCTCTGCGTAGCCAGTTCGTCCCCATCCAGGCACTGCACTACAGTCAGTTGATGCTGTACAGCATACTCAGGACTCACACCGATTAGAGCTGTCAGTGCCTTGATGCCTGCAATAAACACACACAGGTGTTGTAGCTGTTGGGACTCATTGAGATATTTGAGGGTGCAGCTGTTGGGACTCATTAGTATATTTGAGGGTGCAGCTGTTGGAACTCATTAGTATATTTGAGGGTGCAGCTGTTGGAACTCATTAGTATATTTGAGGGTGCAGCTGTTGGGACTCATTAGTATATTTGAGGGTGCAGCTGTTGGGACTCATTGAGATATTTGAGGGTGCAGCTGTTGGGACTCATTGAGATATTTGAGGGTGAAGCTGTTGGGACTCATTGAGATATTTGAGGGTGCAGCTGTTGGAACGCATTAGTATATTTGAGGGTGTAGCTGTTGGAATCACTGAGATATTTGAGGGTGCAGCTGTTGGTTTCATCGAGATATTTGAGGGTGTAGCTGTTGGGACTCATTGAGATATTTGAGGGTGCAGCTGTTGGTTTCATCGAGATATTTGAGGGTGCAGCTGTTGGGATTCATTGAGATATTTGAGGGTGCAGCTGTTGGGACTCATTGAGATATTTGAGGGTGGAGCTGTTGGGACTCATTGAGATATTTGAGGGTGGAGCTGTTTGGACTCATTGAGATATTTGAGGGTGGAGCTGTTGGGACTCATTAGTATATTTGAGGGTGCAGCTGTTGGGACTCATTGAGATATTTGAGGGTGGAGCTGTTGGGACTCATTGAGATATTTGAGGGTGCAGCTGTTGGAACTCATTAGTATATTTGAGGGTGTAGCTGTTGGAATCACTGAGGTATTTGAGGGTGAAGCTGTTGGTTTCATCGAGATATTTGAGGATGTAGCTGTTGGGACTCATTGAGATACTTGAGGGTGCAGCTGTTGGTTTCATCGAGATATTTGAGGGTGTAGCTGTTGGGACTCATTGAGATATTTGAGGGTGCAGCTGCTGGTTTCATCGAGATATTTGAGGGTGTAGCTGTTGGGACTCATTGTGATATTTGAGGGTGCAGCTGTTGGGACTCATTGAGATATTTGAGGGTGCAGCTGTTGGAACTCATTGAGATATTTGAGGGTGCAGCTGTTGGAACTCATTGAGATATTTGAGTGTGCAGCTGTTGGGACTCATTGAGATATTTGAGGGTGCAGCTGTTGGGACTCATTGAGATATTTGAGGGTGTAGCTGTTGGAACTCATTGAGATATTTGAGGGTGCAGCTGTTGGAGCTCATTGAGATATTTGAGGGTGCAGCTGTTGGAACTCATTGAGATATTTGAGGGTGCAGCTGTTGGGACTCATTGAGATATTTGAGGGTGCAGCTGTTGGAACTCATTGAGATATTTGAGGGTGCAGCTGTTGGGACTCATTGAGATATTTGAGGGTGCAGCTGTTGGGACTCATTGAGATATTTGAGGGTGCAGCTGTTGGGACTCATTGAGATATTTGAGGGTGGAGCTGTTGGGACTCATTAGTATATTTGAGGGTGTAGCTGTTGGAATCACTGAGGTATTTGAGGGTGAAGCTGTTGGTTTCATCGAGATATTTGAGGGTGTAGCTGTTGGGACTCATTGTGATATTTGAGGGTGCAGCTGTTGGGACTCATTGAGATATTTGAGGGTGCAGCTGTTGGAACTCATTGAGATATTTGAGGGTGCAGCTGTTGGAACTCATTGAGATATTTGAGTGTGCAGCTGTTGGGACTCATTGAGATATTTGAGGGTGCAGCTGTTGGGACTCATTGAGATATTTGAGGGTGTAGGTGTTGGAACTCATTGAGATATTTGAGGGTGCAGCTGTTGGAGCTCATTGAGATATTTGAGGGTGCAGCTGTTGGAACTCATTGAGATATTTGAGGGTGCAGCTGTTGGGACTCATTGAGATATTTGAGGGTGCAGCTGTTGGGACTCATTGAGATATTTGAGGGTGCAGCTGTTGGGACTCATTGAGATATTTGAGGGTGCAGCTGTTGGGACTCATTGAGATATTTGAGGGTGGAGCTGTTGGGACTCATTAGTATATTTGAGGGTGTAGCTGTTGGAATCACTGAGGTATTTGAGGGTGAAGCTGTTGGTTTCATCGAGATATTTGAGGGTGTAGCTGTTGGGACTCATTGTGATATTTGAGGGTGCAGCTGTTGGGACTCATTGAGATATTTGAGGGTGCAGCTGTTGGAACTCATTGAGATATTTGAGGGTGCAGCTGTTGGAACTCATTGAGATATTTGAGTGTGCAGCTGTTGGGACTCATTGAGATATTTGAGGGTGCAGCTGTTGGGACTCATTGAGATATTTGAGGGTGCAGCTGTTGGGACTCATTGAGATATTTGAGGGTGTAGCTGTTGGAACTCATTGAGATATTTGAGGGTGCAGCTGTTGGAGCTCATTGAGATATTTGAGGGTGCAGCTGTTGGAACTCATTGAGATATTTGAGGGTGCAGCTGTTGGGACTCATTGAGATATTTGAGGGTGCAGCTGTTGGAACTCATTGAGATATTTGAGGGTGCAGCTGTTGGGACTCATTGAGATATTTGAGGGTGCAGCTGTTGGGACTCATTGAGATATTTGAGGGTGCAGCTGTTGGGACTCATTGAGATATTTGAGGGTGGAGCTGTTGGGACTCATTAGTATATTTGAGGGTGTAGCTGTTGGAATCACTGAGGTATTTGAGGGTGAAGCTGTTGGTTTCATCGAGATATTTGAGGGTGTAGCTGTTGGGACTCATTGTGATATTTGAGGGTGCAGCTGTTGGGACTCATTGAGATATTTGAGGGTGCAGCTGTTGGAACTCATTGAGATATTTGAGGGTGCAGCTGTTGGAACTCATTGAGATATTTGAGTGTGCAGCTGTTGGGACTCATTGAGATATTTGAGGGTGCAGCTGTTGGGACTCATTGAGATATTTGAGGGTGTAGGTGTTGGAACTCATTGAGATATTTGAGGGTGCAGCTGTTGGAGCTCATTGAGATATTTGAGGGTGCAGCTGTTGGAACTCATTGAGATATTTGAGGGTGCAGCTGTTGGGACTCATTGAGATATTTGAGGGTGCAGCTGTTGGGACTCATTGAGATATTTGAGGGTGCAGCTGTTGGGACTCATTGAGATATTTGAGGGTGCAGCTGTTGGGACTCATTGAGATATTTGAGGGTGGAGCTGTTGGGACTCATTAGTATATTTGAGGGTGTAGCTGTTGGAATCACTGAGGTATTTGAGGGTGAAGCTGTTGGTTTCATCGAGATATTTGAGGGTGTAGCTGTTGGGACTCATTGTGATATTTGAGGGTGCAGCTGTTGGGACTCATTGAGATATTTGAGGGTGCAGCTGTTGGAACTCATTGAGATATTTGAGGGTGCAGCTGTTGGAACTCATTGAGATATTTGAGTGTGCAGCTGTTGGGACTCATTGAGATATTTGAGGGTGCAGCTGTTGGGACTCATTGAGATATTTGAGGGTGTAGGTGTTGGAACTCATTGAGATATTTGAGGGTGCAGCTGTTGGAGCTCATTGAGATATTTGAGGGTGCAGCTGTTGGAACTCATTGAGATATTTGAGGGTGCAGCTGTTGGGACTCATTGAGATATTTGAGGGTGCAGCTGTTGGAACTCATTGAGATATTTGAGGGTGCAGCTGTTGGGACTCATTGAGATATTTGAGGGTGCAGCTGTTGGGACTCATTGAGATACTTGAGGGTGCAGCTGTTGGGACTCATTGAGATATTTGAGGGTGGAGCTGTTGGGACTCATTGAGATATTTGAGGGTGGAGCTGTTGGGACTGATTCAGATATTTGAGGGTGGAGCTGTTGGGACTCATTGAGATATTTGAGGGTGGAGCTGTTGAGACTCATTAGTATATTTGAGGGTGCAGCAGTTGGGACTCATTGAGATATTTGAGGGTGGAGCTGTTGGGACTCATTGAGATATTTGAGGGTGCAGCTGTTGGAACTCATTAGTATATTTGAGGGTGTAGCTGTTGGAATCACTGAGGTATTTGAGGGTGAAGCTGTTGGTTTCATCGAGATATTTGAGGATGTAGCTGTTGGGACTCATTGAGATACTTGAGGGTGCAGCTGTTGGTTTCATCGAGATATTTGAGGGTGTAGCTGTTGGGACTCATTGAGATATTTGAGGGTGCAGCTGCTGGTTTCATCGAGATATTTGAGGGTGTAGCTGTTGGGACTCATTGTGATATTTGAGGGTGCAGCTGTTGGGACTCATTGAGATATTTGAGGGTGCAGCTGTTGGAACTCATTGAGATATTTGAGTGTGCAGCTGTTGGGACTCATTGAGATATTTGAGGGTGCAGCTGTTGGGACTCAATGAGATATTTGAGGGTGTAGCTGTTGGAACTCATTGAGATATTTGAGTGTGCAGCTGTTGGGACTCATTGAGATATTTGAGGGTGCAGCTGTTGGGACTCATTGAGATATTTGAGGGTGTAGCTGTTGGAACTCATTGAGATATTTGAGTGTGCAGCTGTTGGGACTCATTGAGATATTTGAGGGTGCAGCTGTTGGGACTCATTGAGATATTTGAGGGTGTAGCTGTTGGAACTCATTGAGATATTTGAGGGTGCAGCTGTTGGAGCTCATTGAGATATTTGAGGGTGCAGCTGTTGGAACTCATTGAGATATTTGAGGGTGCAGCTGTTGGGACTCATTGAGATATTTGAGGGTGCAGCTGTTGGAACTCATTGAGATATTTGAGGGTGCAGCTGTTGGGACTCATTGACATATTTGAGGGTGCAGATGTTGGGACTCATTGACATATTTGAGGGTGTAGCTGTTGGGACTCATTAGTATATTTGAGGGTGCAGCTGTTGGAACTCATTGAGATATTTGAGGGTGTAGCTGTTGGGACTCATTAGTATATTTGAGGGTGTAGCTGTTGGAATCACTGAGGTGTTTGAGGGTGAAGCTGTTGGTTTCACCGAGATATTTGAGGGTGTAGCTGTTGGGACTAACCGAGATACTTGAGGGTGTTGCTGCTGGACCGGAGGAATCTGGCCACGCAGGTGGATGCCTCGTTCATCAGCTCTGGGTCGCCAGGGACACAGGACACAGTCAGGATACACTCATACATCACAGCTGCAGACACAAACATGTCAGTTACAACTGTAGACAATAACATGTCAGTTACACACAGCTGCAGACACAAACATGTCAGTTACAGCTGCAGACACAAACATGTCAGTTACAACTGTAGACAATAACATGTCAGTTACACAAAGCTGCAGACACAAACATGTCAGTTACAGCTGCAGACACAAACATGTCAGTTACACACAGCTGCAGACACAAACATGCCAGTTACAGCTGCAGACACAAACATGTCAGTTACAACTGTAGACAATAACATGTCAGTTACACACAGCTGCAGACACAAACATGTCAGTTACAGCTGTAGATACACAAATGTCAGTTACAACTGTAGACAATAACATGTCAGTTACACACAGCTGCAGACACAAACATGTCAGTTACAACTGTAGACACAAACATGTCAGTTACACACAGGTGCAGACACAAACATGTCAGTTACAGCTGTAGACACAAACATGTCAGTTACACACAGCTAGAGACACAAACATGTCAGTTACAGCTGCAGACAATAACATGTCAGTTACAGCTGTAGACACAAACATGTTAGTTACACACAGCTGTAGACACAAACATGTCAGTTACAGCTGTAGACACAAACATGTCAGTAACAACTGTAGACATAAACATATCAGTTACAACTGTAGACAATAACATGTCAGTTACACACAGCTGCAGACACAAACATGTCAGTTAAAGCTGGAGACACAAACAGATCAGTTACAGCTGTAGACAATAACGTGTCAGTTACACACAGCTATAGACACACACGTCAGTTACGGCTGCAGACACAAACATGTCAGTTACAGCTGTACACACAAACATGTCAATTATACACAGCTGAGGACACAAACATGTTAGTTACACACAGCTGTAGACACAAACATGTCAGTTACAGCTGTAGACAAAACCTGTCAGTTGCATCTGTAGACACAAACATGTCAGTTGCAGCTGTAGACACAAACATGCCAGTTGTAGCTGTAGACACAAACATGTCAGTTACAGCTGTAGACACAAACATGTCAGTTACAGCTGTAGACAAAACCTGTCAGTTGCATCTGTAGACACAAACATGTCAGTTGCAGCTGTAGACACAAACATGCCAGTTGTAGCTGTAGACACAAACATGTCAGTTACAGCTGTAGACACAAACATTTCAGTAACACACAGCTGTAGACAAAAACATGTCAGTTGCAGCTGTACACACAAACATGTCAGTTACAGCTGTAGACACAAACATGTCAGTAACACACAGCTGTAGACACAAACATGTCAGTTACAGCTGTAGACACAAACATGCCAGTTGCAGCTGTAGACACAAACATGTCAGTTGCAGCTGTAGACACAAACATTTCAGTAACACACAGCTGTAGACACAAACATGTCAGTTGCAGCTGTACACACAAACATGTCAGTTACAGCTGTAGACACAAACATGTCAGTAACACAGCTGTAGACACAAACATGTCAGTTACAGCTGTAGACACAAACATGCCAGTTGCAGCTGTAGACACAAACATGTCAGTTACAGCTGTAGACACAAACATGTCAGTAACACACAGCTGTAGACACAAACATGTCAGTAACACACAGCTGTAGACACAAACATGTCAGTAACATACAGCTGTAGACACAAACATGTCAGTTACAGCTGTAGACACAAACATGCCAGTTACAGCTGTAGACACAAACATGTCAGTTACACAAAGCTGTAGACACAAACATGTCAGTTGCAGCTGTAGACACAAACATTTCAGTAACACACAGCTGTAGACACAAACATGTCAGTTACAGCTGTAGACACAAACATGTCAGTAACAGCTGTAGACACAAACATGTCAGTTACAGCTGTAGACACAAACATGTTAGTTACACACAGCTGTAGACACAAACATGTCAGTTACAGCTGTATACACAAACATGTCAGTAACACACAGCTGTAGACACAAACATGTCAGTAACACACAGCTGTAGACACAAACATGTCAGTAACATACAGCTGTAGACACAAACATGTCAGTTACAGCTGTAGACACAAACATGCCAGTTACAGCTGTAGACACAAACATGTCAGTTACACAAAGCTGTAGACACAAACATGTCAGTTGCAGCTGTAGACACAAACATTTCAGTAACACACAGCTGTAGACACAAACATGTCAGTTACAGCTGTAGACACAAACATGTCAGTAACAGCTGTAGACACAAACATGTCAGTTACAGCTGTAGACACAAACATGTTAGTTACACACAGCTGTAGACACAAACATGTCAGTTACAGCTGTAGACACAAACATGTCGGCAACATAGCCAGCCGGGAACCTTGACTAGGTAACATCTGCCCAGTACTTTGGACTTACTGACTTTACTTGGGCCATTATCTGTCTGTGGCATTCTCCCCCGATTAATGTTAATTAATCCAGTTGGCTTCCATTTGGCCATTCCTTATTACCAAAGAGTGTGAAGTAACCTCTGGCTCCATATGGCCATTCCTTATTACCCTTGAGTGTTAATTAACCCCCGGCTTCCATTTGGCCATTCCTTATTACCCTTGAGTGTTAATAAACCTCTGGCTTCCATTTGGCCATTCCTTATTACCCTTGAGTGTTAATTAACATCCGGCTTCCATTTGGCCATTCCTTATTACCCTTGAGTGTTAATTAACATCCGGCTTCCATTTGGCTATTCCTTATTACCATTGAGTGTTAATTAACCTCTGGCTTCCATTTGGCTATTCCTTATTTCCCTTGAGTGTTAATTAACATCTGGCTTCCATTTGGCTATTCCTTATTACCAGTGAGTGTTAATTAACATCCGGCTTCCATTTGGCTATTCCTTATTACCATTGAGTGTTAATTAACCTCTTGCTTCCATTTGGCTATTCCTTATTTCCCTTGAGTGTTAATTAACATCTGGCTTCCATTTGGCCATTCCTTATTACCCTTGAGTGTTAATTAACCTCTGGCTTCCATTTGGCCATTCCTTATTACCATTGAGTGTTAATTAACCTCCTTCTTCCATTTGGCTATTCCTTATTACCCTTGAGTGTTAATTAACCTCCGGCTTCCATTTGGCCATTCCTTATTACCCTTGAGTGTTAATTAACCTCCGGCTTCCATTTGGCCATTCCTTATTACCCTTGAGTGTTAATTAACCTCCGGCTTCCATTTGGCCATTCCTTATTACCCTTGAGTGTTAATTAACCTCCGGCTTCCATTTGGCCATTCCTTATTACCATTGAGTGTTAATTAACCTCCTTCTTCCATTTGGCCATTCCTTATTACCCTTGAGTGTTAATTAACCTCCGGCTTCCATTTGGCCATTCCTTATTACCCTTGAGTGTTAATTAACATCCGGCTTCCATTTGGCTATTCCTTATTACCCTTGAGTGTTAATTAACCTCCGGCTTCCATTTGGCCATTCCTTATTACCCTTGAGTGTTAATTAACCTCCGGCTTCCATTGGCCATTCCTTATTACCCTTGAGTGTTAATTAACCTCTGGCTTCCATTTGGCCATTCCTTATTACCCTTGAGTGTTAATTAACCTCCGGCTTCCATTTGGCCATTCCTTATTACCATTGAGTGTTAATTAACCTCCGGCTTCCATTTGGCCAACAGTCAATCCTTTAATATATATATATATGCTCTCTGCACCCGAGGACTCATTCATCTCATGAAGGAGGAAGCGTATTCTCCAAAAAGTTGTGTTCCTCATTAAAAAGAAGTTGACATCCATGTATTCCTGAGCAGCTGACAAACCAAGGGTGATCAGGGCGGATGTTGGCCTCCAGCCAGGGAGGTCCTCGCAGGTTCAGGTACTGCAATTACAATCACACCTGTGATGTTACCTACCAAATGCCATGTGATGTTTGACTGTGGTTCTCTGGATGATGTCCCTCAGCACAGGCCACATTTCTATCCTTAACCTGAAACATTGCACATTTAAGTCATATCCCCAGGTACAGGCTACTGCATAAGAGCCCCCACCCCACCCCGACTCGACTCCTGAAATCACTATCTAAATGATAGGCTGACCCCAACATTTAACAAAATAGACCTGATCTACATAATATACTGGGTACAATGTCTGAAGCCCATTTCTGGTGTCCCCCGCTGGAATATTGCTGAAAGCAGCGCAAAGCAATACTCACTCACCCACATATTATACACCTGATCCAGAAACAAAGCTGACGTATAAATACAGCTGATGCATAAATACAGCTGACGTATAAATACAGCTGATGCATAAATACAGCTGATGCATAAATATAGCTGATGTATAAATACAGCTGATGCATATATAAACATGATCCATAAATATAGCTGATCCATTTACACACAGATGAATATAAATACAATAGATCTGTAAATAGAGTAGATCTGTAAATACAATAGATCTATAAATTCTTTAGATGTATAAATACAGTAGATCTATAAATACAGTAGATCTATAAATACAGTAGAACTGTAAAGAAAGTCACATCTCCAGACTTACTTTTCATCGTGAGGTCCAAGCAATGCCAACACTTTAAGTAGAAGTATCTGTAACCATGGCAATGGCACTGTGTGGAAATCATGAAGTGAAGGAAAGGAGCGGCTGATAATTTGCTTGAGGATTCCGAGGAACCCCACCCCCAAGTGTACATAGTCCGCCGGCGCCTTCTGCAAGAGTGAGTGAGTGAGTGAGTGGGTGGGTGAGTGAGTGAGTGAGTGAGTGAGTGAGTGAGTGAGTGAGGGAGTGAGTGAGGGAGTGAGTGAGTGAGTGAGGGAGTGAGTGAGTGATTCAGTGAGTGGATGAGCTCAACACATCTTCGATTATCCAGTTTATCACATTTTTATTCAATGACGAAATGAGAGGCCTAGATGTCTGAGCTGCTGTGCTGAGTTGCATCCCTTAGGCGTGTTGAAGGATGTAAAATGTTGACCAACCCAGTGGGAGAGTTGCCCTCACTAACCTGGGCCAGTGGGAGAGTTGCCCTCACTAACCTGGGCCAGTGGGAGAGTTGCCCTCACTAACCTGGGCCAGTGGGAGAGTTGTCCTCACTAACCTGAGCCAGTTGGAGAGTTGCCCTCACTAGCCTGGGTCAATGGGAGAGTTGCCCTCACTAACCTGGGCCAGTGGGAGAGTTGCCCTCACTAACCTGGGCCAGTGGGAGAGTTGCCCTCACTAACCTGAGTCAGTGGGAGAGTTGCCCTCACTAACCTGGGACATTAAGGAGAGTTGCCCTCACTAACCTGGGTCAATGGGAGAGTTGTCCGCACTAGCCAGGGCCAGTGGGAGAGTTGCCCTCACTAACCTGGGTCGTTAAGGAGAGTTGTCCTCATTAACCTGGGCCAGTGGGAGAGTTGCCCTCACTAACCTTGGCCAGAGGGAGAGTTGCCCTCACTAACCTGGGTCAGTGGGACAGTTGCCCTCACTAACCTGGGCCAGTGGGAGAGTTGCCCTCACTAACATGAGTCAGTGGGAGAGTTGCCCTCACTGACCTGGGTCAATTTGGAGAGTTGTCCTCACTAGCCTGTGCCAGTGGGAGAGTTGCCCTCACTAACCAGGGCCAGTGGGAGAGTTGCCCTCACTAACCTGGGCCAGTGGGAGAGTTGCCCTCACTAACCTGGGCCAGTGGGAGAGTTGTCCTCACTAGCCTGGGCCAGTGGGAGAGTTCCCCTCACTAGCCTGGGCCAGTGGGAGAGTTTCCCTCACTACCCTTGGCCAGTGGGAGAGTTCCCTCACTAACCTGGGACATTCAGGAGAGTTGCCCTCACTAACCTGGGTCAATGGGAGAGTTGTCCTCACTAACCTGGGCCAGGGGGAGAGTTTCCCTCACTACCCTTGGGCAGTGGGAGAGTTGCCCTCACTAACCTAGGACATTAAGGAGAGTTGCCCTCACTAGCCTGGGCCAGTGGGAGAGTTGCCCTCAGTAACCTGGGTCAATGGGAGAGTTGCCCTCACTAGCCTGGGCCAGTGGGAGAGTTGCCCTCACTAACCTGGGCCAGTGGGAGAGTTGCCCTCACTAACCTGAGTCAGTGGGAGAGTTGCCCTCACTGACCTGGGTCAATGGGAGAGTTGTCCTCACTAGCCAGGGCCAGTGGGAGAGTTGCCCTCACTAACCAGGGCCAGTGGGAGAGTTGCCCTCACTAACCTGGGCCAGTGGGAGAGTTGCCCTCACTAACCTGGGCCAGTTGGAGAGTTGTCCTCACTAGCCTGGGCCAGTGGGAGAGTTGCCCTCACTAGCCTGGGCCAGTGGGAGAGTTTCCCTCACTACCCTTGGCCAGTGGGAGAGTTGCCCTCACTAACCTGGGACATTAAGGAGAGTTGCCCTCACTAACCTGGGTCAATGGGAGAGTTGTCCTCACTAACCTGGGCCAGTGGGAGAGTTTCCCTCACTACCCTTGGCCAGTGGGAGAGTTGCCCTCACTAACCTGGGACATTAAGGAGAGTTGCCCTCACTAGCCTAGCCCAGTGGGAGAGTTGCCCTCAGTAACCTGGGTCAATGGGAGAGTTGCCCTCACTAGCCTTTGGCCAGTGGGAGAGTTGCCCTCACTAACCAGGGCCAGTGGGAGAGTTGCCCTCACTAACCTGGGTCAGTGGGAGAGTTGACCTCATTAACCTGGGTCATTAAGGAGAGTTGACCACACTAACCTGGGTCAGTGGGAGAGTTGCCCTCACTAACCTGGGCCAGTGGGAGAGTTGCCCTCACTAACCTGGGCCAGTGGGAGAGTTGCCCTCACTAACCAGGGCCAGTGGGAGAGTTGCCCTCACTAACCTGGGCCAGTGGGAGAGTTGCCCTCATTAACCTGGGCCAGTGGGAGAGTTGTCCTCACTAACCTGGACCATTTGGAGAGTTCCCCTTACTAACCTGGGCCAGAAGGAGAGTTGTCCTCACTAACCTGGGTAATTAAGGAGAGTTGTCCTCACTAACCTGGGCCAGTGGGAGAGTTGCCCTCACTTACCTGGGTCAGTGGGAGAGTTGCCATCACTAACCTGGGCCAGTGGGAGAGTTGCCCTCACTTACCTGGGCCAGTGGGAGAGTTGCCCTCACTTACCTGGGCCAGTGGGAGAGTTGCCCTCACTAACCTGGGCCAGTGGGAGAGTTGTCCTCACTAGCCTGAGCAAGTGGGAGAGTTGCCCTCACTAACCTGGGCCAGTGGGAGAGTTGCCCTCACTAACCTGGGCCAGTGGGAGAGTTGTCCTCACTAACCTGAGCCAGTTGGAGAGTTGCCCTCACTAGCCTGGGTCAATGGGAGAGTTGCCCTCACTAACCTGGGCCAGTGGGAGAGTTGCCCTCACTAACCTGAGTCAGTGGGAGAGTTGCCCTCACTGACCTGGGTCAATGGGAGAGTTGTCCTCACTAGCCTGTGCCAGTGGGAGAGTTGCCCTCACTAACCAGGGCCAGTGGGAGAGTTGCCCTCACTAACCTGGGCCAGTGGGAGAGTTGCCCTCACTAACCTGGGCCAGTGGGAGAGTTGTCCTCACTAGCCTGGGCCAGTGGCAGAGTTGCCCTCACTAGCCTGGGCCAGTGGATGAGTTTCCCTCACTACCCTTGGCCAGTGGGAGAGTTGCCCTCACTAACCTGGGACATTAAGGAGAGTTGCCCTCACTAACCTGGGTCAATGGGAGAGTTGTCCTCACTAACCTGGGCCAGTGGGAGAGTTTCCCTCACTACCATTGGCCAGTGGGAGAGTTGCCCTCACTAACCTGGGACATTAAGGAGAGTTGCCCTCACTAGCCTGGGCCAGTGGGAGAGTTGCCCTCAGTAACCTGGGTCAATGGGAGAGTTGCCCTCACTAGCCTGGGCCAGTGGGAGAGTTGCCCTCACTAACCTGGGCCAGTGGGAGAGTTGCCCTCACTAACCTTAGTCAGTGGGAGAGTTGCCCTCACTGACCTGGGTCAATGGGAGAGTTGTCCTAACAAGCCTGTGCCAGTGGGAGAGTTGCCCTCACTAACCTGGGCCAGTGGGAGAGTTGCCCTCACTAACCTGAGTCAGTGGGAGAGTTGCCCTCACTGACCTGGGTCAATGGGAAAGTTGTCCTCACTAACCTGGGCCAGTGGGAGAGTTTCCCTCACTACCCTTGGCCAGTTGGAGAGTTGTCCTCACTAGCCTGGGCCAGTGGGAGAGTTGCCCTCACTAGCCTGGGCCAGTGGGAGAGTTTCCCTCACTACCCTTGGCCAGTGGGAGAGTTGCCCTCACTAACCTGGGACATTAAGGAGAGTTGCCCTCACTAACCTGGGTCAATGGGAGAGTTGTCCTCACTAACCTGGGCCAGTGGGAGAGTTTCCCTCACTACCCTTGGCCAGTGGGAGAGTTGCCCTCACTAACCTGGGACATTAAGGAGAGTTGCCCTCACTAGCCTAGCCCAGTGGGAGAGTTGCCCTCAGTAACCTGGGTCAATGGGAGAGTTGCCCTCACTAGCCTTTGGCCAGTGGGAGAGTTGCCCTCACTAACCAGGGCCAGTGGGAGAGTTGCCCTCACTAACCTGGGTCAGTGGGAGAGTTGACCTCATTAACCTGGGTCATTAAGGAGAGTTGACCTCACTAACCTGGGTCAGTGGGAGAGTTGCCCTCACTAACCTGGGCCAGTGGGAGAGTTGCCCTCACTAACCTGGGCCAGTGGGAGAGTTGCCCTCACTAACCAGGGCCAGTGGGAGAGTTGCCCTCACTAACCTGGGCCAGTGGGAGAGTTGCCCTCATTAACCTGGGCCAGTGGGAGAGTTGTCCTCACTAACCTGGACCAGTGGGAGAGTTCCCCTTACTAACCTGGGCCAGAAGGAGAGTTGTCCTCACTAACCTGGGTAATTAAGGAGAGTTGTCCTCACTAACCTGGGCCAGTGGGAGAGTTGCCCTCACTTACCTGGGTCAGTGGGAGAGTTGCCATCACTTACCTGGGCCAGTGGGAGAGTTGCCCTCACTTACCTGGGCCAGTGGGAGAGTTGCCCTCACTAACCTGGGCCAGTGGGAGAGTTCTCCTCACTAGCCTGAGCAAGTGGGAGAGTTGCCCTCACTAACCTGGGCCAGTGGGAGAGTTGCCCTCACTAACCTGGGCCAGTGGGAGAGTTGTCCTCACTAACCTGAGCCAGTTGGAGAGTTGCCCTCACTAGCCTGGGTCAATGGGAGAGTTGCCCTCACTAACCTGGGCCAGTGGGAGAGTTGCCCTCACTTACCTGAGTCAGTGGGAGAGTTGCCCTCACTGACCTGGGTCAATGGGAGAGTTGTCCTCACTAGCCTGTGCCAGTGGGAGAGTTGCCCTCACTAACCAGGGCCAGTGGGAGAGTTGCCCTCACTAACCTGGGCCAGTGGGAGAGTTGCCCTCACTAACCTGGGCCAGTGGGAGAGTTGTCCTCACTAGCCTGGGCCAGTGGGAGAGTTGCCCTCACTAGCCTGGGCCAGTGGGAGAGTTTCCCTCACTACCCTTGGCCAGTGGGAGAGTTGCCCTCACTAACCTGGGACATTAAGGAGAGTTGCCCTCACTAGCCTGGGCCAGTGGGAGAGTTTCCCTCACTACCCTTGGCCAGTGGGAGAGTTGCCCTCACTAACCTGGGACATTAAGGAGAGTTGCCCTCACTAGCCTGGGCCAGTGGGAGAGTTGCCCTCAGTAACCTGGGTCAATGGGAGAGTTGCCCTCACTAGCCTGGGCCAGTGGGAGAGTTGCCATCACTTACCTGGGCCA